CAGGAACAGGCCGTGCTTTTTAAAAATCTCGATCATTAATGTAGAACACATCGAGCTGTTTCGAATGACACCAAAATCAACTAGATCTGACATTATTTGGCAAGTTATGACATAAAGTCGCCGACTCCGTTAGGTATACTTAATGTCATAACTTTGTCAGATCTTGTTCACTTACGTTGATTTTGGTCTTCTACATTTCTTGTAGAGAATAACCATTTTTACATGTTTTCCAAAAAACTTGACGGAGGGGACTAAATATGCAACATAATACGTGGATTTTGCGGAGTGGGATATTCTATAGAATTAATCCAATGAGATCTCTCCTAAAAATCAGCTTGCAAAATCATGCAAACTCGATTTTGCCACCAAGTATTGGGTGCCGGAATTTTAGTCAACGGAATTTTGGTCACCGGAATTTTGGTCACCTCGATTTTTCGGAACTTTGGTCACCAATTTTTTTGGAATTTTGGTCACCAGCGGAATTTTGGTCATTAAATCAAAAAACGGAATATTGGACACTGAAATTTTGGTCACCAAGAGGAATTTTGGTCACCAAACGGAAAAAAATAATCTTATCTGAAACTGATACAAAGTGATAAAAAATGATTTTTCAACTCCCATTTGATCAATTTCAATGTTGATCACTCTCACAGTTAATCAAACATCCGGGAGAGTGATCAAGAGTGATCAATCGAGAGTGATCAACCTATCAACCTCAGCCGGGAAAGTGACAAAAATTGAAATTGATCAAATTGGAGTTGAAAAATCATTTTTTTATCACTTTGATATCAGTTTTAGGTAAGATTATTTTTTTCCATTTGGTGACCAAAATTCCAAAAAAATTGGTGACCAAAGTTCCGAAAAATCGTGGTGACCAAAATTCCGGTGACCAAAATTCCGTACACCCAAGTATTTGTCTTAAATATTTAAAATTTTTTAAATATATTTTTTAAAATTACGTTTTTCCATTAAGAAACAAATTGTTGATAATATATTGCAGAGAGCTCAATGGTAAAATGAAAAGCCATGCAACAAGTATAATATATTTTATATTTCTAGAATTAAATTTTTAAATGCAGCGTACAGCAAATTGACGGCCAATTTTGTTTTAGCTCAGGCTCCCGGACAATGCGTCAGTGGAATATGCGTCAGTGGACAATCGGTCATAATATAAAGAGATAAAAATTCACTGATATCCCTCCAAATCGGCTGATCTCCATCTTAATCCAACCAAATAAGTTGATATCTCTATTAATCCTCACAAACCCGTGATATCGACCTTAATCCCAACGAATCCCTCTATATCTCTTTCAAACGCTGAAACCCCCTTTTAAATACTCTTAATCTGTTTATATACCATCTTTAGTCTTTTTATATCATTTTTATCTCTTTACATTATCACTTTTAATCACTTTATATAAATACTGACCGATTGTCCACTGCCGCATTGCCCGGACACGTTAGCTCAATTCCCCTCGTACTCGTACTTCGTACCAAAGTACGAGAAAGAATTTTGGTACGAGCCTATGAACACTGGCCATAGCTAAAACAAAAATTGGCACAATGTTCCGCCTCTTTAAATTTAAATTAAATTACTTTGCCTTCCAAATTGTTTTATAACTCAAAGGGAAGTAAATAGCATGAAAACGATTTAGAGCCAAAAAAGTTATATGAAAATATAAAGCATTTTGTAAAGTTTTTAAAACCGGTGAAATAAAAAAGTAGCTATAGTAGGAAGAAGAAAAAGGTAGATAATCGAATATTATAGTGTAGATAACCATAAATTGGTATAAAATATTTACAATTAACTGTAAATTAAAAAAAAATTATTTTAATTTTTAAATTGATTTGTGAATTCTTAATTCGATATACCACTCTGTATGTCCGATGTTCATGCTGTGGAAAAATTGTTTGGATGGGAGATGGAATTGAACCATCAATGAATGAGCCCAGACCGAAGCACAACCGACTGTGCCACCATCCAACCCAATGCTGGGTTATTTATTTTCGTTTATGTTCTTTCTGCAAGTGCGGACACACACACTCACTATTTATAAAATTGACGGCTCTACTCCAGTTTATGCGTCCAATCGACTTTTATGCGTCCATGAAAGTTTATGCGTCCAATCATAAAACAATTGAATTTTTCTTAGCATTGCAAAGCATGGGTATGGTACCAAAATATGTCTTCATGTTCGGGACCCACGCCCACTGGGTCTGGGACTCTTCTTTACCCTATCCCTCGAAATTTCGGAAAGTTATAGACAATTTTTAAAAATTTCGGAAAAACAATTTTAACTTTCCGAAATTTCGAGGGATAGGGCAAGGAACGGTCCTAGACCCAGTGGGCGTAGGTCCCGAACATGAAGACATATTTTGGCACCATACCCCACTTTGGAATGCTAAGAAAAATTCAATTGTTTTTTGATTGGACTGCGACCACCTACTAGTTGTTGCTAGGCGCTTTAGCTCGCCATATGCAGGAGCTCTACCTCTGAGCTACCGGGGCATCGACTAATGCTTCTCTTTTTCCTTTTTAGATCGTTTAACCCCCGCCTAAGTGTTTTAAATGCTGCTGGGTGAATTATCCTCACATAAATTTTTGATACTCTCATATTTAAGAAAAATTTGTGTATGTTACAAATTTATGAATTCCCATTGCTTTTACAAACCTTGCTAAAAAGTATAAAAAGTGCTGTTCGTTCTTTACAAAATTTGAATAATGGAAAAATTAAAAATATTAGAAAAATTGTAAATATTAAATTAAATAGAAATAGTACTATCTTCCAATAAATATAATAAGCATCCATTATTATTTCCAAAAAAACTACCTATATTATTAAAAACAATTTTTAATTTATAAATATATTTCCATATAGGTATATTACAGTATTTCCTAAAATAAAGCCCCAATCTAAATTAGAGCATACCATAAAATAGAGCCCCATTTTGGAAGATAGTTGAAATATAAAGCCTTATGGGGCATTATTTTAGGAAATACGGTATACGGGAGCAGGCCAACTTACCGCGGAGCTATAACTTCGTTTGGAATTGTCGAATCCAGGACGAACTAGTATGGTTCGATGCGCCTATACGAGCTGAATCAAACTATACCAGGGTGTCCCGGATTCGACAATTCTGAACGAAGTTATAGTTCTGCGGTAAGTTGGGGTGTACCCACGGTATACCTAATGTAAAGCATATAGCTATTTAATTTCCTAAGGCTGTGCAGTAAGCGGCGTGCTGTAATGGATAACACATCAGTCCGGTCTGCTGAAGATGCCGGTTCGCTCCCAGCCGCCGAACAACCTTTTGCACTAGCTAAAGGAGAGAAATAGCTATAGCCCAGCTGCTTTACTCTAATTACAAAAAATTTTTTCTCTTGCTAAAGAGAAAATTTTACTAAAGAGAAATTTGTTAGAGGAGCATGAATTTTTGATGGAGAAACGATAAATAAATTGAAGAATATAATGAATTTTAATTTGAAACGGAAGTTAAATATTAAATTATACAAAATACACAATAATTAAATTATTTTATATGATTAGAAAAGCCCACACGCATTTTAATGAAAATTAAAAAAATACAAATAAAATAAATTATTAAAAAATTGTAGGCATTTTTAATATTACACGCAATTAATCAAAAAAATATAATTTTTATTTTTTTTTATAAATTCGTTCAAGTACTATTGAGGATTAAGGATTAACACCCACGTTTATGCTTTAGACTTTTTCTTCTTACAAAAATTAAGCAATACAATTTACGAAAGACTGCTCTGCTCATGGGGGGAAAATGTAATGAGTAGAGTGGTCTTCGGCTCGGCTCTTCGACTATCTAGGAAACTACAACTCTAATAATGAGCCTAAAAGTATTTACTGTTCTTTTCTAGAACAACATTGAAATAAGGGTTCTTGGACATATTTATTTGAATATATGCATCATTTAAAAAAACTACGATATTTTTTGCCAAAAATTTAAAATCTTCATGAAAATTAAAATCAGAAGTTTTTGTAAATTTCTCCCAAAAAACATAGAGAGATACAGCCCGTTAAACTTCCGAAGCAAACTTAAGGGGCAATTTCAGGGTGGCCCTTTTACCCTATTTATAGAGGATTTTCCCTATTTTTGACATTTTCGCCCTATTTTTTCCCTATTTTCTCATTTGCCATATTTTTGCCCTATTTTTAAAATCTTGTAAAATTTTAGAAATTCTTCGGATTTTGCAAGAAAAATGGTAAAAATGAAGGATTTTTGGCTTCTTGGCCTTCCAAAATCCTCAAAATTTTTGCCTGCGGCGCAAATAATGGAAGAAATCTGGCTTCTAGCCTCCCAAAATCCTTAAATTTTCGCCTGCGGCGCTAAAAAAGCAAGAAATTTGACTTCTTGGCCTTCCAAAATATTCAAAAATTTCACCTTATTTGAAATTTTAATTATGTTAAGCTTTTAAAGCTATGCCCTAATTTTTGCCCCATTTTTGGCCGATTTTTCCCTATTTTTGCCCTATTTTTGAGTGGCAGCGCCCTATTTTAGTGTTTTGGAAGGGGCCACCCTGGGCAATTTATTTATGTGGCATTTAGGCGTTTTTTTGGTGACAAGGATATTTAACACTTAATAACCTAGCGAGATATTTTTTCCAAAAAATACGATTCGCCTATTTTATAGCAAATTTCAAGGGCTTTCAGAAAAGCATAAAATAAAAATTTAAAACAATCCATAAGGGGTCGAAAATATTTTTTAAAGAGCCTTACCCCTGTTTTACGTTGATTTTGGGGTATCAGGATCTCGACTTAAAGTAATGATATGGGCCTAGTTTTTTTTTATTTTTCCACGATATCAATGTAAATATATGCCCGCTGGAATTTTTTTAAAATTTTTCCTAATGTTTTGAAGCGAAATAATAAGGTGAACTCATAATTTTGGGACAGAGTGTGGTAATATGGCATGAAAAGAAAAAATATTTTTTATAAAAAAATTTTTTTTAACATAAATTGGCTGATTGTTAATAAGATAAATCTCATTAATATTCTTCATTATGGATTGTGTTTATTGGAAAGTTTTTTGAAAGTAAAGTTTCCTTTTAAAAAATACTTCAGCTCCATTATCTGCTCCATACAAAGCTTCTATTCGTTAATTATGCGCTTCCGACTTCCATATAGATCTTCAAATATAATTTCTTTCACCATGTTTGAAATATCATTTGATGTTTCTTTATGCTGAAATTTAACTATTTTTTAAATTAATTAAAGTAAGAACGAGGTAAAAGCTTAATCCCGGGCAGACTCCGATCCTGAGACCTTCTGGCAGTTATTGCTAGGCGCCTTCGCTCACCACGTACAGGTGCTCTAGCGACTGAGCTACCGGGACGCTGCTTTCACCTTATCTTTTAATAAATCTTAAACCCCCGCCTAGCCAGCTGGATCTTTACTACTATATTACCATTATTAAATTATTGATTGATTAGAACAAGAGGGCTCTGAAGAGACCGATTATTGGGCGAGAATTTTTTCTCTGACTTCTCTCGCCCAATAATCGGTCTCTTCAAAGCCCTCTTGTTCTAATCAATCAATAATTTAATAATGGTAATAATGGTAATATCTCCCTCTACCTTACTTTAAGACATAAAAATACTAATCAAGATCTAATTACCTGTAAAATACGATTATGTAAGCCTGTTAATTTGGGATGTTTACAACAAACTTTAGAGAATTTATAACCTCCAGTAGTTAAAATTGTAAATAAAATTTCTTGATAATTCTCTACATTGATGCCATTTTCATCTCGATATGCCTCTATATTTATTCCATTTTCAAAACTAATGATTAGTCGATTGGAAAGTAAATGATTTAATGCAAATCTTATAAGACTAGTATGATCATAATTTTTGTAAATACGTAGATTAGCCTCATTAGAATGAATTTGTAAAGGTAGTGGATTCTTTGTGGTATCTCTATTTTCGTCATATAATATTTCAAGCATTTGCGGATTAAATACAAATTGTTGCAATTTAAAATGCTGATTAAATATAACTTTATCCAAGCAAACTTTTTCAAAAACACAGTTTGAAAATTGTTTAAACAAGTAACGCATAATTTTCAGATCTTCAAAAGTTTTTGGAATGATTGGAAATTGTAGAGTTATTGCTAAATTAAATTTTGATTAAAAAATTATTTCAGGCTAAGGGCCCTTATAGAGAAAGCGCCTGAAGCACTCAAAATTGCATTCATTGGATCCCGTAACGAGATTTTTTTCAAAATTTTTTACGGGACAGGATCTCGCGGGATTAATCCCGTTTAATCCCGTTCGTCGCTTAAAACATGGGATTTCTGGACCATCAAATCCCGTACGGGATCCTGTCCCGTGCCGCACACTACTGCATACTTTACGCCTACATTTGGAACACAGATTTGAATTGTAGGCGTTATGGCGTGATTTAAGAATTTGAAAATTAACGTTTGGCGCCAAAACCCAAATTTGAAAATTAACATTTGGCGCCAAAACCCAAATTTGAAAATGGCGTTTGGCGCACATCCCTGAATCGGATCCACAAAATGCCGGACATCCAAAATATTTGTTGGGATATCAGATCCGGGAATTTCCTTAGGACCGCCATCCCTATGCCGGAGTTACCTAAAATGTCCACGGAAATGAGGGTACTTATATAAAATTTGTCATTTACTTATGACTAGTCTTTAATTTTTAAGTACTAAAAAGAATCAAATGGCACGATGGAAAATCGCGACACAATTGTTAATAAGTTTCACCTTGAGCTTTAAAGTCACCATCATGTTCCATTACAGAAATAACAAGAAATACATTTGTATCATCATCTTTTAAAAACATTGGAATTGAATTATCTATTATATATTTCCACTAGAAAAAGATTTGTTTTAAAAATAAAAAATATTCATTTTTAAGGGTCCACCCCCACAAGATCAAAATTCTAGAGGACAAAATCGTAGAGATCAAGACCCTGGAGAGGGTCTTGATCTCTAGGGGCTTGTCCTCTAGGGTCTTAGAGATCCAGGATCTTGATCTCTAAGACCCCCTCTAAGACATCTCAATCTCTAAGACCCTCTTAGAGATCAAGACCCTCTCCAGGGTTTTGATCACCAAGGTCTTTTGATCTCTAGGGTCTTTTGATTTCTAGGGGCGTCCTCTAGGGGTTTGATCTTGTGGGGGTGATCCCAATTTTTAACCGTTTTCTCTTGATGTTCAGTCAATTGAAGTTCGTAAAATTTAGGATCCGGTTTACTGAATTTAAATTTAGTTAAAGACAACTCATCGATAGTGAACTTTAAAAAATAAATTTAAGTAAAAACTAAATTATACAACTACAATTTCGAGTTTATGAAATTTTTTTAGTGCCAAATCATTCTCATATTGCTTAATAAATTTTTTATAAAATTTATTAGTTTGTTGCATATTTAATAATTGACCCCAATTGAAACATTTAAGTATATCTAATTGATTTTCAGGTGGAAGAAAGTACATTTTTAAATAAATTTTTTCCTGAAAAGCAAAATGAAAATTTAAACTTGATGAGATACACGTAAGATTTAAAAAGAGTGATTATTCCCAATACTCTTTTAATTTACTTTTGAAAATGTGATTTTGGTACTTTTCCGTTTTGCCCCCTAAATTAATGCTAAAAATATCATATTTAGGTTAATAAAAGATGCTGAGTCTAATGGTATCATTCTTTTTGTCCGAAGATGCTTGTTGACTGAGACATAGGGCTCGAAATGATCAAAAACCATAGGGCGGAGTAAGCTCATTTTTGGGGCAAAAATGTGAATATGCAGTTAACAGCTCATTCAAAAAAGCTCATCGTGCTGAGACTAAAAATTGCCCCAAAAATTAGTTACCCCAAAAATTTGCTTACACCGCCCCATGGTGTTTGACCATTTCGAGCCCTATATTTCAATCAACAGGCATCGCCGGATAAAAAGAATGGTGCCGTTAGACTTAACACCTTTTACTCTATATATCAGGATTGCCGCCCGAAACCCGATACCCGAAAAGAAAATTTTCAAACCCGAAACCCGCACCCGAATATTTTTTGTACCCGCGTCAACTCTGCTATATATGACATTTTTAGCATTAATTTTGGGGGCATAACGGAAAAGTTCAGTGATTTTTTGGAATTAAAAAGACAGAAACGCAAACTACCTATATTTTCCGTGGGGTTTTCAATGATTGGTTTTATGTTATACAAACGTGATTCATTGTATTTTGCTTAGAAGAGAATTTATACGAGAGAAACCATTTTTTAAAATACATATAATGATTGAATTATAAATGAATGAATAGAATGTTTGTACTTTTGAATACAAAAATAAATATTTAAAATGCTTAGATAATTATAGCTTAAAAAAGTTGACATACCAAAAACCCAGGAAAATATATGTAGTATGGCCTAAGAAATTTTAACGGAAATAAACATAGGTAGGTATTAGAGATTGGGCTGGACCTGAACCAAGGCCTGGGTTTTTCATGTACCCAAAGTCCAGGTCCAGGCATTTTTTACCCTTCCTGGGGTTTTCCTGGACATGGGTTTTCCTGGACTACAGGCCCAGGATCAAGTCAAGGTCAAGGATCAAACTCCAGAGTCCAGGAACAGGTCCAGGCTTTTCAAAAATCTCGATCTCTACTAGGTTTTTATCAAAAAAAGGAAACAACAAATTTAAAACTAAATAAATTTTACAATTATTTAGATCAAAATCAGTAATTTGTCAAAAATAAACATAAAAGAAAGTTTACATTAACCGATTTTTTGAATGAAAAAAATTCTATGTTAAAAATAAACAAAAGTTTAATGCATATAAATAAATTTATTTATTGCAATGTTCAAATATGAGTGGAGAAAAAATAATAGATTAAATAGTAAATGTCACAAAGAAAAATTCAGCAGATGATTTTGCTTAAATAAAAATTGTAAATAGAAATGCAAATGAATTTTTAGAAATAAAAAATAAAATTCTATATGACTTAAAAATGTAAAATAAAATAAACAAAACGCTTTATTGAATGAAGAGTACTTGTGGGTTATTCCACGTACTTTGCGGACTTTTTTTGCAGACACAATTGTATGTACATAATGGTAAGAGTTTCTCTTCCCTCGTTAAGGTTTAAATTTGAGGTTTAAATTTGATGAATTTAGTGAAAAAGAAAATATATAGAACAAAAATCATTCCAATGACCAATATTTCCTCAAGCTTAATGCTGTTTATTTTTATGGATGACTGAAAAGAACCTGATTTTTAAGCTTTTAATTATTCTAAAATTTCAAAAATTGAAAAATGCTTCATACTAAAATTTAAATAATCTAAAAATAATATCAAACAAAAATAATCAGACTGAAATATTTACTACTTTTAATAAATATGTAAAATAAATACATAAATTTTATAAAATCTAATATAGATTGTTAAATCATGAATATTAAAAAATAAAATTACCGTATTTCCTCTAAAATAGCCCCCCCCCCCCCAAATAGCCCCCTTTGGAGGTTGATCGAAAAAAATAGCCCCGGGGGCTATTTTAGAGGATTTACGGTATACTACATATTATTGTTTTTGTTAGAAAGATTTGAATAATTTAAATAAAACTAAGAAAGAATAATAACTACATACATATGTCCGAGCCCCTGCGAATCGAGTTTTTTAGTTAGTAACATCCCCGGTGTCTAACAATGATAAAATTTAGCCCAGTTTTACTGTTAAATTTTTTAAACCCTTCAAATATAGGTAGTATAGAATAGCCAAATGTGAAAAAGTTTTATAAATTTTTAATTTAAAATTAATTACTTAAAAAGGCCAGAGAGTTAATTACTTTCTCTGGGTGATCCAGATATAATGATCCGAAAAAGGCCCGAAAAACTAGTAATGGCAAAAATTTCTCCATGTTACAATCCTTATAATTTTTGGTATATTGAATCTGTTTTATTCACATTTGGCTAATTTATCTTACATGAACCCTTCTTAACTAAATGACATAAAGGCTTTAGAGTTGGGGTCGTTTTGGCGCCGGGCCGTCTTGGCGCGAGAACAAAAATTGGCACTTAACCGAGACCTAACTTTATAAAAATTTTATCAAATTTCTTTAACATCCTTGACTACCTCCTCAAAAAATTTCAGAATTTTTCATAAGATATTTCTGAAGTTATGTCGATAGACCAGAAAAAATTGGGCATTTTTCAGAAAATCGACATTTTTGGCCATAATTTCTAAAATTCTTGCTAAAAATTTCTGAAATTTTTGGAGAACATAGATAAAGTTACGAGAGTTATTATTGCAAAATTTTATCATTTTTGATAACAAACTCGCTATCTTATAAGCCCGCGCCAAAACGGCCCAACGCCAAAACGGCCCAGTCCCATATGTTACAATTAGATAAAGTTTGTTGTAATAACATATACAACAAAACACATAGCAATGAAGCTAACTATTAAGCAATAGACAGCAGATTTATAAGCTTCATCAACATGTTGATTGAATTCATCTACCAACTTATTATGTTTTTTCATAAGTTTATCCTCTTCCTCCTGTCCATTAAAAGCACGCTTTGTACGGCGGTTGTGACTATTCGAAACGGAATTAATTTTTAAATTCCAAATAGCAAAAAGATTTGAGAATAACTGCCAATTGTTATAAATTAACTGTAAAGCGTCCTCATTTTCCATATCATCTACACGAACATCACAAGCCTTTAAAACTTTTTTTCCAAGAGTCAGAAGCGAAGGTATTTTATCCCAATCATTTCCATCTACTATTTCTCGCAGTTCATTGGAGAAATTTTTAGCGGATGCAATTAAATTTTTTTTCAAAGTTTTATTTTTCTAAATTTATAAAGTTTTAAATACTATTTTAAAAATTTCTGGCTAAATTATACTTCATGTGTCAATAGAATATTTTTTGTTAATTTCACGTTTTAAGTACACATTTCTTCGTTTTCTGGACATAAGGCTAATTTGGTTACGTGTTGGGCTAACTCAATGAACGGACAAATGAAGGGACGACAAATCAAGGAATGACAAGTCAAGGAAAAGACAGGGCAAGGACCTGTCTTGACCTGGTCAAGGACCTGGAAAAGAACCTGGGAGGAAGATAGGTCAAGGACCTGGAAAATTAACAAAACTTTAGACACATAAAGTATAATTAAGCACAGTTTATTTTTACTTTTTTCCCCATCTTTTCTTTCAACATCATTAATTTTTCGTCCAAATTCAAATTTTTTAAATTTTGCTTCAATTCTTCATTGTCAATTGTTTCAACAACTTCATCAAATGAAGTTCCTTCGTTCAAATAAAATTGAAAAAGAAAATAAAATGAAAATAAACAAAACATTAAATTCATTTTTGAATTCTTAAATTAAATTTAAAAATTTTTGTTAGAAAATAAAGGCTAAGTGAGTGTGAATTTTAAAAAGCATACAGGAAAAATAATATTTTTAATAAAGTAAAGCAGCTGGGCTATAGCTATTTCTCTCCTTTAGTTAGTGCAAAAGGTTAATCGGCGGCTGGGAGCGAACCAGCATCTTCAGTAGACCGGACTGATGTGTTAGCCATTACACCACGCCGCCTACTGCACAGCCTTAGGAAATTAAATAGCTATATGCTTTAAAATAAAGAAAAATATGACTTAGCATACATATACATTTGGGAATCATTTATTAATCATATGATGTTAAGAAAAATATTTTTAATTAAGAAATAATTTAAATTAAAAATATTTTTATTTGAAATAACACTTAAAATAAAGGAGTTTGGAGGGTACTTTATTGTTAAAGAGAACGAGTTTGGACAGTCGGACAGTCCTTTTTATCATTATTATCAGCTGTGTATACATATAAAATAATTTTAAAAAAATATAAAAATTTTAAAATGAATGCCTTTATTAATTTTCGTCAACTTAAAAAGGCCTTGGCCAAAGGCGTATATTGACAAAGACTCTTGTCGGCATTATAACCTTTGAAGAAAAAAGAATTGCTTTATTATACAACCTGCCCTTAGAATGCCCTTAAATGTTAATAAAATTTACGTAATTTTTCCTTTAGCATTAGCCGCTAAAAAAAATAAGAAATACGCGTGATTGACATCTAAATGCTTGTCATGAGTGAAAGGGCAATTTAAAAGGGCATTTAAACATTATTGTACATAAAATTGCCCTTAAAGTTCCCTTCACTAAAATGAGAAAAACTTCAAAAAATTCTTCCCAAACCTCGATCTTCAAACTTTCCCTCCCATAAATTATACATATATTCAATCATAAATGAAATCTAAACTCTATTTAAAAATAAATCAGTTTAGAAATCGAGAATCACTTAGAAGAAGACCGGTATCGGGCGGCTTTTCTGATTCACAATACCGATTTTTTCATATTCAATCTTCTGATATTTCTCCAAATTTCATAATATCCTTTGTAATCCCATTAATCACTCCAGGACCCCGATATATACGATCCCCTCAAAATTAATATACCTTCAAACCATTATGCATATCACAAAATGTAGATATGGCATTTTTTTAAAAATTTTAATGATCATCGTTCCAAAATACCGATACCGTAATTCGTGATACCGCTCAACTACATAAATACATATAGTAAAAAATAGAAAATAGGCAAAGGAAAATTTTAAATTAAATAAAAAATGAAATATTATTTCATAAAAAAATAAATATTTTCCCTTGCTATAATAATTGGAAATCAATAGCTATGTAAATCTTATTATGCCCTTTAAGAAAATAAAAAAATTTTTTCATTCAAAAAATTTGATAAAAAATTAACTGAAGAAATATTTTAGAAAGACAACTTTAAAGCACTTTCATTTCCTGTTCGTGCCATAAACTGAAAGGAATTAAAGTTTCTGTTATTTTACCTATATTAAATTTTATCATATATCCCCGTTTCTTCATATACCCCGTTTCTTTTCTATTTTCTATTGATATTTATAGAAAGTTGTTCAGAGAACTTTTTGTGGATTTTTTATTGATAAATTAAAATTTCAGAGAGGAAAGCCATCTTTAAATATCAGTTTGAAAAACAGAAAAAATATTGGTGCGTATAATTAGTTAACAGAGTGTACTTCGATTAAATTTTTTCATAATTTAGAAAACAAAAAATTACATGAAAATTTTAAATGATATAAAAATATCAATACTTGAATGAATACTGCTTTACTGTATGGGGAAAAGCAACAATCCATCTACTAAGAAGACAGACTGTTGGCACTAAGTAGCGATAAGGATTGCGAACAATAAAATCACCCTTAAATATTTATTATAAAATTCATTTAGAAATGCATATTTAGGTCTCTTCAACTATGTGTAAAGGCCCCAAATTTCCTTTCGCAAAGAATGCACAAGTTTTGACTAAAAATGAGAATAAGAAAACTAAAATAATTTTACCATCAGTAACAAGCGCAGGACATTAAGGTTGGCGGTTCCAGTTATCCGGAACCGAAAAAATACTGGATAACCGAAAATTTTCGGTTCGGTTATCGGTTCCGGATAACCGAAAAGTTCGGTTCCGGTTCCGGATAACCGAAAAGTTCGGTTCGGTTATCGGTTCCGGATAACCGAAGATTTCCCATGAACCGCCAACCTTACAGGACATGGCTTAACATTATCATTAACAATTATACGCACACACCTTGCACCTCATTACGACAACAATAGCATCATTTAAACGCTTAATCACTCTTTCTTCGAAAAGCCGACCAGTCCAACTAGTCGATGCGAACGACTATAAAATAACTCGGCTCTTGTCCAGTTCATGCGTCCCATTAGAATTTATGAGTCCCATAAAAATTCAAGCGTCCCAAAAATAATTTATACGTCCCATTAAATGAATTGAAAAAATATTCAAAAATTAAAAAATGCAAAGTTATTAGTTTTAAAAAATTTAAATGAGAAAAAAAGTTATGATGAAATGAAAAGTGTGCAATAAATTCTGGTCACAATGTAAATGTTGAAAAAGATGAAAATTTGAAAAGAGAGAATTTTCTCTTTTTAAAACGGCTTGAAAATTTAAAGAGAACCGTTTCTTTTTTATATGACTTATCCTCAGTTTCTAGTGAATAGATTGAATATACTAAGAAAATATAGATGATTAATCGTCTTAAACTGAGGTGCTCACGGTTACAAATATTATTATTTGTGGCCGTATTAAAATTTGGCGGTTTCTGTAACCTATATATCTGCGGATACATACCCGTTTCCGTTATAAATTATTTTACTTACGGAAATTTTGAGAATTTTCTAAAAACCCAGATTTCTCCTTTTCTTATACAACAGGCAAAACGATTGAGAATTTTAAAAGGTTTGATAAGAAGTCAGATTTCCTTCATAAATCTGGGCAAGAAGCCAGAGTACTTCCTATTTTTTCCCAATTCTAAAAGCAAAATTTTTCGAATTTTTAATGTCAAGAAAAATTTAAGGGCGTTTCCGTCCGTATAAATCTGTATCCTTGAGCACCAGGTTTTAAAAATTTTTAGATATATTTAATACTCCGTATTTCTTCAAGGAATCTGTTGTTGAACTTCATCTTGTTGATTAACATTTTCCTCAACTTGATATTGAAAGATATGGAAAGGCCATTTCCCTAACAGAAAATCAAATCCATCTACTTCAATTGCTGTCACAAAAAGTTCCACTGCAAACATCGAAAGAGACCCTTTAATTGAATAACAATTTACTGGTCCTGCTTGTTCACAAAGACGAAATATGCCATAATTAATTTCACATGCATTTTCCATGATTTCTACCAATAAACCATCGATTGTATCATAATCGATAACATGTTGTTTTATAACATCTAAAAATAATTATAAAAGAATCAAGTTTAAATAGAACTATTTGTGTTGAATTATTTTATTATATAAAATGGAAACCTCGATTGAAGTCAAATTCAGTAAAATATTTTTTATTCCTTTTCGCATTTTTATATTCTTTGAGAGATTTTACAGATTTCTCAAGCAATGCCTTTAATAATATATTTTAAAAATTTCTAGTTTTGATAAACAAGTTAGGTATAATAAACTACCTAAATTAGTAATTTGAAAATTAGATTTTATGTAAAATTATAGGATCCCTTTAATTTTATGCGTGATAATTTATGAATTGAAGTCAAAATATTATTCAACAAATAATATACCGCAATATGATCATTTAAACTTTGAGAACGTTCGTTTATTCCCCAATTTCCTTCTATCACATCAGGATTTAAAATTTTGTAAATTTTATTTTTAATCCTAGTTTCATCACAATCAAAGTGAAACATGCTACGTTTATTATAATAATGATGTCGTATAAATTGATAAAATCTATGGAAATTTTTATAGTAACGTTGTTCGCCTGCCTCAAAAGAATTTCTGCACGCATTCACACGAAGTTGTAAAGTATTGATTATTTTACAAAATTCGTTAGTCACAGGCGTATTATCATTATCATAAGGCCCATCCTTTAAATAATAGCAAGCGCTGCTAGCATTTTGAAGAATTCTTTGGTCAAACATCATTAGGAGATTGTAATCGTCCAAATCAGACCGCCCTTAAATTTAAATATACCTATCAGTAATTTAGAGGTCACTTAGTGTAATTAATAATTTTATGAATTTGAAAGCTATTTTTTTAATTTTTTCATTAATAGTTTACAAATCTTTCATAAACTTTTTTATGTCGAATTATTCTAACATGTGCCAAAATCTCGTTATATCTCTAATTTGATGTATAATATACCTTGTATGTTCAAATTTCCATTGACTTGTACAAAAAATTCATCTAAATTATAAGTATATACATAATTGTTTCGTTTATTTATTTTTAACAAAGTATGCAAAGAGTTCAAAGAAATCTATTATTCATTAACGAACTTACCTTTTAACGCATTATGTTGAACAATGAAATCTTCCTCTATAATGAATAAAAATTATTTATTAATCCTTTAGAATTTAGTAAAAAAAGTTAATAAACTTTGTTAGTTGAAATTGCTTATAAAATATAATTTTATATAACAAACCTTTTAATTTTCTGTTCTGAAATTGAGCTGGTAAGTTTTGATTTTGACTTGTTAAGTCATCTTCCCATGTGTTATAATAAGGCACCTCTCCAGTTTGAGAAGAAGAGGAAGGCTGGTTTTCCCATTCCGTTGTACTATGGTACATTTGAGGAGGATGTGTTTCCCAAGCAGTTGCTCCTGCAGGTATAAGAGTTGATAATTTATTAAATATTTAATGATAGAATCTCGAAATCCAAGCTTTCCGTTCTATAGTTATGTTTCCTTTTCTAATACAAAAATGATTTCTCGAAATTCAATTTTCCGAACATTCTATTTTTCTATAATCTCTTATTTACTTTAAAGAATTTACCTCCTATATTCATTTGTCCAAATTGAGCATGTATATCTGGGTTATAATGTCCAAAATGCAATTCTTCAGTCTCTCGCTCAGCATTATCATATTCTTCATATTCTCCTTCATATTCGTCTTCTTCATATTCTGCTTCACATTCTTCTTCTTCATCTTCTACATAATGATAGCGGCTTGTTTCTCCTTGCGATGCAGAAGGCATTCCTTCCCACTGTTCCTCTGTATTGCAATGTTGTTCCTCGCCTTCATGAACCTCGCCATCAGAACCTTCATTATATTCTGTTTGATATTCCCCTCCGCCTACTGACTGATGATCATATTGATTTGCATTTTGATTCCCAAAAATATTATGGCAACAATTACAAAAATTATTCCAGCAATTATTTATCCATTCTTGAAAATTAAAGCCCCGACAAATGTCTGGGCATAAATTTCCTGAACTATTCCAGCATGACATGCAACATGAATCCCAGTTAGGATTTTGATCCATTCCATTAAATAATGGGGATAGCAAAACCATAATAATAAATAAAAACAGCATGAATTTTTAATAAAGAATTTTAAAGATTATTTGAAAAATCTGTTTAAGATAAAACTCTTAGAAAAAAAACTGTATTTTCTAAGCAGCTTTTAAATTAAATACTGTATTTCGAATAATTCCACGGATGGGTTGAAATAATAGTTCCCCTCCATTGAATAATTCCCCTTCCTCAATACAAAATTTGTGGTTAAACGAAACGTACCTACCACCGGGGAGTAGAGAATCCCCTTTATCTCTCGATATCCAATAAATCCTAGTAATGCTTTAAGCTGCTCCAATCCTACCTACATCACTTCAAATAAATCACTTTAAGAAACTTAACAAAGGCAAATTTAGATGTAAATTTCGAAAACATAGATGCCACAGAACTGAAGGCATTTAATAAGGCCTCTCCGGTGAATAAAGCCTACCCTAAAACTCAGGACTTTTACTTTAATATCCATTCAAACTTTTGCTTTTGCCTAAGCGTCTAAAATTTAAGCAACAAATTTTAATATATGTATATTTGGCTATTTTTAGATATTACATGAATGAATTTTTAAAAATCTTAAAAGGCTTTAAATTAAGTCTGTTGTAGCGATTCATTAAAGAGAGTGCCAATGTGGCGAGCCAAATATCAACATATAGCATAGAGAACTATGGTCGAGAGCTATGAGGGTGATCCAGATACAAATTTATTTACTTAATAAATGCAATATTTTTTATTGCGCAATTTTTTTATAGTTTATTTGCAAATTTCAAAATGCAAAAGTGCAGATCGAGTTCTTACGGATTCGGTGTTGAACATACATACTCTTATCACAATACTTGGATTTTGGCGGTATTCCTTGGCGGTAGAAAATAGCTCTTTGAAAATTATAAATGCTAGATCAACTGAAATAGTCATGTCATAGGCTCTTAATCACAGCAGAGTTGCTCGGTTTGGGCCCTTTCCATAAAGGTTCTATTCCATCTCCCATCCAAACATCTTTCCACAGCACGAACATCGTATGCAATAAATACCTACTTAGTAATATACATATATCTAAAAATGTTAAATTATTCATTTTTAAATGCGAAAAATTGAAAAATGCATTATTATATTCGTTAAAATATTGTTAAGGAAAGTAAAAAATGAGCAATAGTGAATAGATAAACTCAATATTCTGAACTATTATTTAACAATGCATCCGTTGTTTGTTGTCAGAGGTCTCCAGATAGAAGTCGCTCACTCATGCGATCTAAATTAACAAATTACTTTAAATTTTGAAAAAAAATCAACATTGACTTTAGTATTTTTATTTGATTTATTTATTCTTTGCCGTTTATTATAACAAGCAGCACATAAACTGTGTCCAGGTATTGAATAACGGTACCAATGTGATGTATGAGTAACATGGCAAATAGAACAATTTCGATCTTGTGGTGTTATCTAAATATGTGGTGTTATCTAATAAACTTATAAAAGTTCTCTTCATCAAAAATATTTATTAATTAATTTACGAAAATATTAGAGGCGTCATAATTAGTGCCGTTTTTAATTTGGATTTTTTGGATTAAAGGAAAGAGACGTTCAGGATTTTGTTTGTGTAACTCCGCAAATAAAACATTTACGATCGTCTTTAGATTACTTAATTAGGTTATCTAACGGTAGTAAATAAAGCATAGTAGTAATATACAACTACATAAAAACATCCACTTATATATCTATTGGCTTAACGTTTGGACAACAGTTCAGAAGTTCAGTGTTGAGTAAATGATTCATTTAAAGAGTTCCGATAGGAATTATTAAAAAGCGTCCAAAATATTGATAAGGATAACCTTTGTAGTCTTAATCCATAATTCTTTTGATCTAAACTTTCCATATTTGCGTTGACATGCCCCACATTTTTCGCACATGTAATGTTCTTTTAGGTAACTATTCCATTTTTTACTATGATTTGATTGACAGTTGAAACACTTTCGTTGATTTACTTCGATTATTCCACCTAAATTATAAATGAAAGTTTTTTAGTTAATGAAAAAGCATAATTAAATATTTATTTACTTATTTTATTGCCAATATAAACAATTTTGCTTTTTAATTCTTTCGGATGTTCAACTTCTTGTTTTTCTAACAATTCAATTTTATATCCAATTAAATTAATTTCCGTCCAATAACTTGATAAAAATTTGATTTTATATGATTCTATATTTTCTTTTAATAATTTTATATTATTTGGTTTTATATTTTCTAAACTTTCGTCCAGAATAGAAGTTTCATAATAATTGGTTGTTTCAATAAAATTATTATATCGGAGTGCCTTAAATTTATATCAAAGTTGTTTAAGGTGTAAGAGAGGTTTACAAGAGGCTTAAATGCCACAAAATAACTAAGCCCAGTAACGAATAACTTATAAGTTGCTTAGCCGTGTTAGGGTGCATTTTGATAGGAATATTCAAATATCAATAGTTAAATACCCGTTTTTCCTCAGGCAATAAATATTGAATAAATTTATTATTAGCAAGCTCAATCACGACTTTTCTTTTTAATTGAAAAGTTAGATTATATTTTCCTTCAAATAATTTTGTGCTAAATAAATTGCTTTCAAGGTTTAATTCAAGCGGACGCAAAAATTCATTTATATTAAATTTAAGTGTAATATCATTTTTATTATTGGATTTTTTAATTGTTTTTAATACAAAACGATCCTTTATTTGAATATTTTTTAAATAAATAAATTCTCTTTTTTCCTCCCAATCATCTTTGATTTTCACTTCAACATGAATGAGTTTCCCGGCGCATTGAATTTTCAAAAATATAATTAAATATATGAGAATGATAAAATTAAATTTAACCATCTGAAATTTAGAAAATTTATTTAAAACATTGCCGGTAACATGAGAACTTGGTTACTTTTCCTAATATTATATAATAAATCGTATTTAAAGACCGGGACCGATAGCTCAAAAAACCAGAGAAATTTCTCGCCTCGAGAACTGAAATTGAAAGTAACGACTGACTAATAAATGGAGGTGTACACACTTCGAGTTGCTTTAATGCGGCCCAATTGCCGAATTTTGTTAATTAAATAGACTTGATATTACTACTATTGTTAGTTATTTTGTAATTTATCAGACATTTAAAAATAAATATTTGCACTTTATATTTACTAGAAAATTCATATGATTAGTCCACAAGGCATTAAATATTTAGAAATTCAATTTTATTTTTATTTATTTTGTCTATCGGCGAGATAAAAAATGTTATTTGCACTTTTCGTCAATTGACTTGTTTATATGATTAGGTTTAAATATTTTGAAATAGTATTTTTTAGAAATACAGGGTGACACAAAAAGGATGTCCCACTTTTCAATCCATTATAACTTCTTTTATTCTTTTCATTTTTAAATAATTTTATACTCATTTTGTAGCCCATTCAATTCTCTATTATATAGTAAAATTAAAGATTTTTTGATTAAGGATTTGGAAAGTTATGCAAATTTACATATACCATATCAAAATCTGCCCCCCAAAATTTCACTTTCTGTATCTCAACAATGAGAAGCCCAATCGGGATGATCTCAACAGAATTTAATTGAGCTTATTAGCGATCCTAACGAATCTGAAAGCTGAAAACTCCAACGC